ATAATATTGATATGTAATTAAATTTGATGATCGATCTTAACCCAGCAGGCCGGAAATGATCGACGATCACGTGATCTTGACATTTTTGCGCCATGACTAGTCTAGTAGTTTGTTATTATGCCAACTGGTGGTGGCAAATCTCTCTGTTATATATTGCCATCAATTTTTTATACTGGTCTAACAGTAGTTTTTAGTCTGTTAATTTTACTAATTGAGGATCAAATAGTAAATATTTAATATTAAAATACTATATTGGTTATATTATTACTGTATTAAACTAATAAAATTAAAATCTATTAATAGGCGAAATTAACAAAATTTGGTATACCTTGTGGTGGTCTCTATACGGAACAATCTCAGATTTTACAAGAAAAGATTTTTAAAGAAATAGTTTCAGGGTTTATAAAAATAGTATTTATAACTCCAGAAAAACATGAAAAGAATATAGGATTTCGTTCATTTTTAACACGCATATATCAAACCCATGGATTGCGAATTGTAATTGATAAAGTACACTGTATTCTTGAATATACTCATTTTCGGTAAATAAATAAATTATATTAAAGTAATTAAATTTACTAACTATTCTAAATTTTTGTATTTTATTTATTTTAGCCCATCTTGGGGACAACTCGGATGTTTAAAAAAGCTTTATCCTAATGCACCAATTATGATGCTTACAGCAACTTGTTCACAATTTGAATTTAATGATATTATATTCAATTTGAATATTTTACATAATAATTTAGAAATAGTTCGAACAGGTGATTTTTCTTGACTTGAAATTTCTTATGAAGTTCGATCTAAAAAAGACTCCAAAGATGAAAATATTATAAATATGATTGAAGAAAGCAAAAAAATTTATATGGCAAAATGTATTATATATTGTTCAACTCCATTCGAATGTGAAGAAATATCAACTGCTTTAGGAAAAAAATTAGAACCATTATCAATTAGCATGTATCATGGAGATCTATCTAAAGAAGCCTATAAATACTCTATGTTTCAATGGCAAAAAAATTAAATTCAGATAATGATTGCTACTAACACTTTTGGAATGGGCATTGATATGCCTAATGTTAAATTAATAGTTCATTATACTTTTTCTAAAAGTATTAGTGAGTGATATTTTTAAATATTCTTTTTTATAAATGTAAATTTTATTATAATATTATAACTTTTTAGCAAATCTTATTCAAGAAACTGGTCATGCAGGAAGAAATGGCAGTAATGCAACTACTATAATTTATTTTTCACGTGATTTATGTACAAATTCTATAATTATTTTTAGAAAAAAAGAAAGGTGAAAATAAATACCATTTTTATATTTATCATAAAACGCACCCATGGTTGTTTCGCATCTATTATATGTTTATTATATTTTCCAAGTTTTATAAGTTTTGTATATAAAATTTTTAATGTCTATTTTTTACATTAAAGTTAATACTTAAGGTTAGAATTAGAGTTTAGAAGAGGCTTTTGGGGGCGTGGAATATTTTTACTTAGAACACCTCACACTAATTAATTTTCTAGTTTTTGAAATAATCTATGCACAGGTGCAAAACACCATAGATGTGTTTTAGTAAAGGTCTATTTTATAATTAAAGTTAAAATTATAATATAATTAAATTATTTTATAGTCAATTAGAATTCAATACAGATACAAGCGGACCTACTATTTTAAACAGAAAAAAAAGATTATTAGATGCACAACAAAAACTATTTGAAGTTATGTATTATCTTAACGAAAAATATGAATGTCGTCATTATATGCTATTACATTATCATTCTTGGGATGCATTACAAGATTCATATAATTCGTGTAGTCGGTGTGATAATTGTCAAAGACAAATATCTGACAAAGTACAACAAATAAATGTAACAAATGAAATAGAGAGAATCTTACATATTATCAAAGCAGTTCTCAATCATTCAAATACAGAGATAGATCCAGATGATATTGTCAATATATTTCTTCATGCAAATAATACTAGAATAAGAGCCTGGGGCTATGATCAATTGTGTATTTATAACTCGGATTAGAAACCAAAAATTCTAAAAACAAAAGAACTTGCTAAACATGCATTACAAGAGATGGTTATTTTGGGTCTTGTTCGACAAGTAATATTACTTAAACAACACTCACCAACTTCAACAATTAACATGTATTACATTTTTCTTATAGAGTCACGCGAATTTATTTCTATTTTAAACAATTTTTATTATAATTTAAGACTGATACAACTAACCTTTCGCTTTCAAACTTCAGAATGAACGAAAGCAAAT